GCGTTTATCTAACAACAGCCTTGCTCTTGCTTGTTTAACTAGGACCCGCTGGTGCTTTCAACTAGGTATCGGTGTGTAAGCGGCACGTAGGGCAATTCGATCGGGCAGGGAAGCAGATTTTTGTACGTTTGGGGCAGTTCTCAGAATTGAAAGTCCAAAAGTGTATGTACGGCAGTTTGAGAATACGCTATAAATACTTGATTCCGTTCTTTTCTTTCTGTAGAGTTGTAAGGTTGGTTTTTCTTATATATACGGTCTCCAAGCGGCCATAGGGCATAAACTTTTTTTTGAATAATAGTTACTATCGGTCTGTAAGCGGCACGTAGGGCAATTTGATCGGACAGGGAAACAGATTTTTGTACGGTTGGGGCATTTCTTATAATTTTCAAGCGGTCTTCGAGCGGGACGTAGGGCATAAACTGTTCTTCAGAATAGATAATACTGGTTTGTAAGCGGCACGTAGGGCAATTTGTTTTGTACGTTTGTGCAGTTTTTATGATTGATTTTTATGATTGACGGTCTTTAGATGGCTCGGTAGTCGTGCTTTTCGAGGACGGTTCTCCTTTTGTAGTAAAGCTTCATATTTCTTTGGCGAAAAAATTGAATTTTCTGACAAAGTTCTTAGACGATTGACTGCGTTGTTTTCGGAATTGATTCTAAGAGAAAAGTATTTTTGTAGTACACATAATTGTTATGGGTGTATTTCTACTTCCAAAACGATGGGTGTTCTCCTACTTGCTTAACAATCTTTTATGGAACTTGTTGAGAAGAACTGAAAGAGCAAATTCTCCTTGAGAGGGTAGAAAAGTGGGGATTCTTTTTTATCTGAACGTCTCTATGAGGAGGGGAAATTTGCAGAAAGAGCGTGGTAAACGAGAGAAAAATGATGTTCTCCATGCATGTTTGCAGCAGGAATTTCGAGAAAAATGAATGATTTGTGGAGATTATCGCTTCTTCGAGCAGTTCTCCTTTTGTAGATTGATTTTCGCAAAAAAGTTCTCAGGAAAAAATAGCAAACTAATTTAGAAATAATTATAAGCACAACTAAGCCCTTATATTGTATCTGCCCCGACCCACTTGCTAGCGACCCGCAGGGTCGCTAGTTGTACAAAAAAATTTGAGAGTCAACGAATGCAATAGTCATTAGAAAAAACCAGGTGTCTTTATAATTTTGTCCAGCTTTCATTAAGGGCCTTTTCAGATTTTATTCGTTTTTCTCCTTCAACTCAACGAAACTAGAAGCCGTTCTAGGAGGTCATGGTAGGTTAACATGCGCACAATACTGCAAAGTTTCAGGCAGTTTCATTGACCAGAACGAAAATTACGACGATCTCTAGAGTGTCTTTATAATTATGGCCAGCACTGTATAGTATATAGCATTATGATATGCAAATAGCTAGAACCAGTAACTTTGATTATCGTAGTGTAACATTTTCTAGGTAATTTTGTTTTCTTTCTGTTGCAAAATATGGCCATCCTGCCTCAAAATTCTTTTCATTTCCTATAAGCTCCTATCGTAACATCCAGTAAGAAGAGCGATGGAGTTCTCATTTTACTGTACATCTAAATTGAAGCCCGCACTATGTGTGCATACTTTTGGGACACAACGTATATCGCTATACTTGGCGTAACTTAGAACACAGTACAACAGTAAAATGCACACTTCGTAATTTATGCCAGCGTCTCTGATCATAAGGTTGCGCCGCAGCAGTCGACGTAAAAATACGCTCACGGCAGCATAGCCGGATCTTGCGCAAATTTAACGAAAGCAGAACTGCAGAACCTCATAGTGCATGTGGAATCTGATGAAGCAGTACTGCAAAAGCGGGTATCTCATGAGTAGAAATAAACGAAGTAGCGCATTCAAGTCGTTAATGAGAACAAGAGCGAAATAAGTCTGGTGGAATCGAGGAAGCACACAAATTTAACTTGAATGAAGAAAAGTCATTCAGTCAACCTTCGATTGACGATGGGACAAGGTAAAAGAGAGAAAGGATTTCACGCTGTGAGGAAACACTCTCGGAGGATACGAACGTGAAGCAGATATAGAAATACATCGATATAGCGAAGCTGCGTTGCCGTGAGTGTATCTTCACTGCGAATGCAGAGGCGCACGCCATAGGCTGCCGCGTACTGCTGCGTAGCATGTAGGAATCATCCATAGTTTAAGATTTTCTAAGTTTTTTGGTTTGTTTTCTGACGCGATATAGGGCTCGCAATGGCGAAAAGTTTTCCTTAGGAATCCTACCGTAATCTTACAGTAATGAAAAGCGATTGGTGGTTCACTAAATACCGTAAATCTAAGCCAAGTTAGCTCTGCAACAGTGTTTTTGAAAAAGGAGATTTGTTTCCTGTTTATTTGTTTTCGCAAGAGAGATTTTGAAAGCGACGTCCGGGGGGTCGCACAGTGGCACTTAGCGTCGTGAGAACGTCGGAAACTTACTTCGGGAACCCAATTAAGGGCCGCATACCTTGATATCTCCACCGGAGGAGGAAAGGATCACACTTTGAAAGAAGCTTCACATCCTAAAGCTCCAGGTGTCTAGAGTTCACGCTGTCTATCCATCCAGAGTAATGGCGTACCGAGGGGAGGAGCCAAGTGGGTAGCGAAATTTTTCAAAATCACATACACGGTTACAGAAATGTACAAGTAATTCGTTTATACTCGTAAGTAATCAAAATAATTTTTTAAATTTTTTGAAAATTCAATTTATCAAACGATTTTTTTCGGCTGACACACGCCCCCTTTTTCTAAAATTCCGGATTTATGGTCTCACGAAAATTTTGAGAAGCATACCAAAAATTTTTACTGGGTGCGTGGTTAACGCCACGCATCTTCATCAGAAAAATCTTTTTATCGCCCCCTCTCCCCGAACGGAAATGGTGTACGCCACTCAACCATAGGCATTCTACCACCTTTAACTATGAACATACTGAGGGGCGAAAAGTGTACAAGTCGGTCCAGCTTTTTGTATGATTCTCTGTGATCCGCAGTCTCTGTGATTTCTTGAAAGTAGTTTTTCTTTTCTTGAACTTTCCAAAACGTCCCAAATCTTACTATAAATAACCCAACAGTACCAAGCACTTTCCGATATAAACAAACGAGTTTTAGCATTTTGATAAACCCCAAATTGACTTGTAGCTTACCGAAATCATCATTACTCTGATACTTCAAATGTTTTGGTTAAAACGTGTTTAGCATAGTTAGTCTAGAAGATCTATGCAACTTTAGAATGTTTTCCGTAAATTCAAAGGAGGAAAAATTACCTTGGAATAAACTCGGCATTTGGGAATCGCCGGGGATCATACAAGAAGCTGGAAAATACGCCTCATACAAAATTTCGCTCCTGTTTCTGTTCAAAGTGTAATATGAATAGCTACGGATGGACAGCCGCCATGAGACCCAGATATCTGACATCAGATATCCGAGGCTTCAGAATTTGAAAGCTTTCTTTTAGAGTCAGCGGCTAGGCAAATTCTCGGACTACGTTTTTCTGCTTACCTGGGGTAAATCGAGGCGCTGATTCCGAAAAACTACATTGAAGAGCGCGAAAATGGCAAAAACCACCATTTCGCAAGGCCTGCCATTTTGAATTTGGACGAGTGGAGTACGTCCCGCCATGGCCAGAGAGGCAGAATCGTTGCGGGACCCTCGCAGTTATAGCATTGCGGCATGCCTTCTCTGACGAGTCAGGGAGAATCGCAAGCTTGTCCGCGCGTATCAGAATGGCTTGCGCGTAACGGATTTAGGGACAGCTTTCTAGGCAAGGGCAGCGTGCTGCGCGCTCGGACTTGCTCTGTTCTCATGTTTGGGGTGCAAGCAACCTTACATGTCTCAAGCTAAGACTTCTCCCCGGCAAAAATGTCAATGCATGCGGCCCCTAAACAAGCCAAGCGGCAGCGCATCGCGGCTGAGCTTCGTGCCTAAACCAAACTACAGTATCGTGTTAACGAACGACTTGCAACAGTTTCCGTGCTAGCATGTGACTCATTGGCCTCGTCGATCCTCGCGCAGAACTTAGTATATATACACACCAGTGGCGTACCGAGGGGGGGGGGGCGGGGGGGGGGGGGCGCCCCCCCCCCCCCGAGAATGGGTCGCGAAATTTTTGAAAGTTACTTATATGGGTTATAAAAATGTGCAAGTGACTTGGTAAAAAATTTTTTTTCGGGGGCGTGGCTAATGCCACGCCCCCTTTTTCCAGATTTTAGGGGTCGGGGACCCGCAAAAGTTTTGAGAAGCACCCCAAAAAATTTTTCGGAGTGCGTGGCTGACGCCACGCACCTTCTTTAGAAAAAATTTTTTGTCGCGCCCCCCCCCCGAGCCGAAATCCTGGGTACGCCACTGATACACACTCATATATTCTACTTGCGACTGTATGAAATTCGCGCTCAAAGGACGGCAAAAGCGGGTTGATCGAAAAATCCACCCCGTCTCCTACCCCTCGCTCATGTCGGTTACAAATTACATACATGCAGACTGCAAAATCCTAAAATATAGTAATTTCGAGTTGGAACTGTAAAAACTTATCGCGACTAATCTTCAAATATTAGCAATTCAATTATGTAAAAGACTTGCAAGTTTTTGCAACATCACATATCCCAAGATTGAAAGTATCACTTCAGAACCGACGTAAAGGGTTATTTTTACTTTAATAACGGCATCATTATGCGCGGCACAGCGATTATATGCTTGTGGCACAACAAATCATTTTGGCCGATAAAAACTTGCTGTTATGCAGATAGGATCCTCTTTATAGAAAATTTCCATAATTTTTAACATTTTTGAGTCTGCGTGTTAGTAAAAAAGAGAAGAGTAGAGTTAAAAGGGCCTGATTGATGCCAGAATCTTCTGCTTAACATCAATAGAGCAACAGATAATTTCTGAAATAGTGGTGAATTGTAAGTCATATCTTCTTAGCATTGTGCTGATGGTACACTGATGTTACGAAGACCACATCTATAATATTCAGTTTCAACCAGCAACAAACTTCACAGAGATGGACTACAAGGATTTCAATAACAGTAAACGTGGATCGTCTTTACTGCGACGATTTGAGGCAGGGATCAAACGGAATTGCAAAACGCTTCCCATACCATTTCAGTACTGCATCTGTCAATATGCAACATCTGCAGTGACGTAAGCTGCACTCATTCCTTGCTTTCAATCTTTCTTCTTTTTGCAGTGATGAAAAGTTGAGACAAAAACTAGCTATATTTGCTGTTGAACAACTAGATCTACTTCTACAATCTGAAGGAGTTTCGTCTTCGTGTGAGAATGTGAAACTGAAAAAGGTAAACGATGTGATTTTTTGCATATTGGACTAGAAATCATTCAAAAGTCGAGAGTGAATAAATATACCTCATCAGCTTGGATGACGTAGTGAACCCACAAATTTGAGATTGGCTTTGTGTAAGGAGAAGAACGAAACGAAACGAAAAGAGACGGATTTAGTAGGATACTTTAGTTCTTTATACAAATGTTCTTTTTCATGTGCGGTGTTAGACACCGTCACTAGGACAAACACCACTCATAAACATCAAAAAAAGCTCCACTGAACTTTTTTGAATTAGGGAGGCATTCGCATATTTCAATAGCGCATATTAGGTGTTAGCGGATTGGAAAGAAAGTAGCAGTCTCGAAGTCCTACCCAGAAGAGATGCCTTCGAGCACCTTAACTTTTTGCGTTCTCAATTCGAAAAGCCTCTTTCCTACTCGAAGGCTGGCACAGCGCGTTTGTTCAGTCAGACTCAGCATTCTTTTAGATCTTGACCTGTTAACAGCTAAATTTAGCGAGAGGCTGCTGTAGCGCCCCCTTGTAACAAATTTACCATTTTTTAATGTTTGGCATTGAAGACTGTTGCTTCGAATGGATGAGCTCTCTTAAACTAGTAAAGTACTTTGACCTTGCTTACAATTTGTTGTGTTTTCTATGCAACTGCTGTCGCCAGCTGATCTCTTGAAATTTTAAAGGTGACTGAACGAATGTTCGCAGTTATAAATTATTGATACTTGCATCAAAATTTCAAATACTAGGTTGTTACGGAAGTTCTGTCCGATTTGTGGTTGCCTTGTTTCAACGCAGCTAATTTCTTGGAATTTTGTACTTGTTGCAGAGGTATGAATGTCTTCTGAAAGCACTTTTTTGCTCTTTGTAGTGCTCACTAATGCTTGACAAAATATCTTTTTTATGATAAAATTTCAAGCCTTGAAGCCAAACTACCGAAATACCGTAGTGCTCAAGAAAAGTTTCTATGAAGAGAGTTCGTAAAATTAAAGATATTGCAATGTTTTTATTGGGTTAGGATGTAATGAGCTAACATACGCCTACTTTACCTCCAACAAAACGAAAATCTTACTTTTTAATTTTTTCTTAAATGGAACTCAGTTATTCAAAAAGTAACAACAATCTACGTATAGCGAACGGTGGTGCACTCAAGAATCCATACGATAGAATAAAGCGAGAGCAAGCAGGGACCATCGACCACTTAGCTTTCTTCGTTTACGACAGCAAGAAAAACTCAAATATTAGAAAGTTGTCTAATTTGCGCGAGTGGAGGAAGGCTGAAATAATGGATTTTTTGATTTGCTCGTAAAAATTTCTGTGCAACAAAAGATAGCTCAAATTCTCTTTAGCCATGAAAGATTCTCTGAAGTACAGGCTACTCAGTGGTAATAGCCAAATATGTCCGCGTATCCTTAAATGAAAGCATTTGTAGGTTAAAGTGGATTGTTTTGAAGGAAACTCTGCAAAATTCTCTAAATTTTCTCTTCTCTCTCGCTCGCTCTCTTCAAATGACATACTGTGCATGTGATAGATGTAACCTCACCCAATCCAAAAAAATTTAATTTGTGCAAAAATGTTGATTTTGAAGAGAGTTCTAACCATTTTAATCAGAAAATCTACAAATCGGACAGAACTTTCAAAACAACCTAGTATAAGCAATGAAGAACTTACAACAGCGCTCATAGAATGTGCAAGTTGTAGGCATGCGATGCTTAAGCTGGCCGGGGTCCACACTATATCCCGTTTCCAGTTTTCTTAAATTTTTCTGCGGACGTCTTCTCGCAAGGATGTAACGCAGCGCATATAACACATAAAGGACTCCAGTATAAAAGTATTCCTCAATGCTATTTCCGCAGATTATCAGACGCTAGAAACAGCCGCAAACACCTTTTTAAAAAAGATAGAAGAGCTGGTAAGTCTGAAAAATTCAGTTGTCCTAAACTCTTCTCATCATGGATCTCTCGCTAAGCACTATGATTTTCTAATCAGCAGGTCATTAACCATTATGAGCGAGTTTTCAAGAAGTGCGGGTCACATGATTTTCTCTCAGTTTGCGCTTCCGAAGCTTGCCGGGGTTTTGGCTGAATATTGATGATCTTGGTTTGACAGAAAACTTCGCTTTAGGTCTGTTGTGGTCTTTGAGGAGTAGAAATTGTGGTCTTTAAAGAGTAAAGAATCTTCTGGCAGAGATATGAGGGAGCTGCAGCTAAGCCAAAAATAAATTCGCCTGCACTTTCCGCGTACTCGTTAGAGGACTTGGCTGCTTGCTTTTACAGGTTAAAATCAGGAAAATGTGTTATTGTACGGCGCATGTCTCAGGCTCCAGACACCAAGTTACGAGGTTACGAAATCACGTCTTTATGAATGTTGTCCAAAACGAAAAGATCGCATACTCCATCGAAGTTCCATCGTGAGTGGTCGCATGACGCGCTGATTGCAAAATCGGCTCATTTCGCTCAGGAGGACCTCCCGTATTGGATACTGTATCTGTGTGGGCTTCAGCTACCTAGTTAGATAAAAAAGCAATTTTGTGGCTAGAGCTCAGTGCTCAACTATTTCACCAAAACGGTAGGAACCCATGAGTGAAATGAACATAAAGGCTGCTGCATGACGAAGGCGCAGAAGAAATATTAAATGAGCGGGGGCGAACGCGACGCGCGCGTTGTAAATCCTGCGCCTCGCGCGCTCTGCGGCTAATAAAGCCGCGTTCGCGTCCAAAGGTAGTGCGCCTTCGTCATGCAGTAGCGTATAAATTTGTAGTCGTGTTATGTGAACAGTCACGATCGAGTTTTGACGAAGTATGCGACCTTTGCGTTTTATGCATTATTCATAAGGACGTGATTTCGTAAGTTCGTGACTCGGCGATTGTTACAAGCTGGAGTTTGAGACATGCGTCCCGTTGAATAGCATAGCTTCCTGATGACTCGCAAAGACAAGCAGGCAAATACTTTAATAAATTCCCGAAAGTGCAGGCGAACTTACGAACTTTCGTTGCTTAGCTACAGTTCTCTCTCCATATCTTTGCCACAAGACCTGTATCCCGCAAACGCCATGATTTTCAACAGCAGGTTCGAAAACCTCCACGAGCAAAGTTTTCTTTCGTTGTAAGATCATATTTTGACCGAAACTCGTCGGCGAGCTTCAGAGCATAAGGCGAAAAAATTGAATAAAATGCACTACTTGGAGAACTTGCTCGTAGAGGTTTCCAAGAGCACGTTATCAATAAAATCAGTGCGTCACCTCTGCTTCGCAGAGGCTCGCACTGATTCTACTATCTGAATGCCCTACTCACTCCCGCATAATGATCGCATTGAAACTCATGGCGCAATCCCGACTATCCTTCTATATATATAAAACCGAATGGGATTTTGTCTGTACACTGGCGGCTTGTCTGTACGCTGGTGGATAAGCATGCTTGTTGATGCTGTCTGTAGGTCCTCGATGGTGTTTTCGTGTTTGTCATTTGCCAGCATGGAAGCTTGTTATTACTTCTACCAAATTTATCGATTATTTGCAAATTTTGAACTACGGGGCTGGGAGTTGGGGGTGTATGTCAAGAGGCGCGATTTTTATTGCCAGCTGGACACAAAATAGCACATAATAAGTGTTTTACAACTTTCTGAAAGTATATGAAATTTAAGAGAAGATATATTAGATAGTTGCATGGGTTGCTCAACCTTTATACTCAGAAAAAAAATCAAAACAGCAATTTTTAAGGTCAAAAACCCATTAAAATGCATGTAAGAACAAATTCGTACATATTTCAGTCCGTTTTATAGCAATAACCATGAAACTCAGTGAGTGGTAACCTTAGACAGATTGTAAGCCAACGCACTTTATTTGGTAATTTTTAGAGACTCCCATAGCACTAAACTCGAGTTTTAAGTTGCTGACAGCCGGAGAAATCGCGCCTCTTGACCGTCTCCCGGGAGTTGGCACAGGAGGGTAATCGAACATGCTGATTACGAATATGATAACCATTTTCGATAAAGCCCATTACTTTTATCATTTTATCGATTTTTTGGCAAAGTTCAAGCTACGGGCTGGGAGTTGGCACTCGGGGGTAATCGAGCATGCTGATTACGAATATGATAACCATTTTCAAAAATGCCCATTACTTTTATCATTTTATCGATTTTTTGGCAAAGTTCAAGCTACGGGGCTGGAAGTTGGCACACGGGGGTAATCGAGCATGCTGATTACGAATATGATAACTATTTTCAAAAATGCCCATTACTTTTATCATTTTATCGATTTTCTGGCAAAGTTCAAGCTACGCGGCTGGGAGTTGGCACACGGGGGTAATCGAGCATGCTGATTACGAATATGATAACTATTTTCAAAAATGCCCATTACTTTTATCATTTTATCGATTTGTTTGCAAATTTTGGACTACGGGGTTGGGAGTTGGCACGGGAGGGTAAGCGAACATGCTGATTACGAATACAATACTGGTTTTTAGAATTATCAGTTATTTTTATCATTTTATCGATTTTTTTTGCAAAGTTCAAGCTACGGAGCTAGGAGTTGGCACACGGGGGTAATCGAGCATGCTGATTACGAATATGATAACTATTTTCGATAAAGCCCATTACTTTTATCATTTTATCGATTTTTTGACAAAGTTCAAGCTACGGGCTGGGAGTTGGCACTCGGGGGTAATCGAGCATGCTGATTACGAATATGATAACCATTTTCAAAAATGCCCATTACTTTTATCATTTTATCGATTTTCTGGCAAAGTTCAAGCTACGCGGCTGCGAGTTGGCACACGGGGGTAATCGAGCATGCTGATTACGAATATGATAACTGTTTTCAAAAATGCCCATTACTTTTATCATTTTATCGATTTGTTTGCAAATTTTGGACTGCGGGACTGGGAGCTGGCACACGGGGGTAATCGAGCATGCTGATTACGAATACAGTATTAGTTTTTAGAATTATCAGTTATTTTTATCATTTTATCGATTTTTTGAATCAAGCTACGGGGCTGGGAGTTGGCACACGGGGTTAATCGAGCATGCTGATTACGAATACAAT